TCTAGGAAATTTAGCTAAATACGTTATTGTATATACGCTATTAGGTTTTCATGAATGTTATCGCATTCGTATTCAACGCGACTGGAGCTATGTTGTGACACTTTCAAGTTTATCGATCGACAATTTTCCCTAAAGTGGGAGTTATTCAAGTAAATTTAGCCAATGGAAAGTAAAACTAGTTTGAGTTAACAGAGAATTTGAGTTAGTCGCGTTCGAGTTAGCTTATAGTAAATAACAGGAAAATGGGGTCAAACCCAGGGGGAAATCTATTTTGTTCAAATTAGCGGAGTTCTAATTTATCCACTCTTCAGAGTACATAGATAACATCCCACTCGGCTCCTTCGTCGATCCCCCTGTTGTTTTGCACAATGCTTTCTTTCAGTGTATTCTGAAATCTCTTACCAGTCAAGTTGGAGGTAAAAATTGGGGATTTTGCCGAAATCCTGTAAGATGTGTTTCAGTAAGCTTTCGTGGAAGAGGGAAATTGGGGTAACAGCCACTTTTGCTACATTTCAAATTCGCTAATAATATCATTGATAAAGGGCTAATTATAAGTTTGAAACTCTTTACTGTGGCCAATTTACGTTATCAACTCGGCTGATAATGCCGCGGTTTGTAACACCGCCGCTTTCTGAGTATGTGTACGTTTTTATTAGCTCCAGATGCAAGCTGATTTTCAGCCTTTCTGGAGCTGACTCCCGTACAGTAAGGTTTGAATTTTAGTCAACATTATTTCACTGTGTCTATACAGTCGAACCAAGCCTCTCATTTGGAGATTCCTCTGAAGGAAAATCACACGTGATCGGTTACAATATTGCAAAGCAAGGATAAGGTAGGCGATAGACAACAGGGACATCAATCCTCTATTTGTGGCTGTATGCCAACCTCATATTGCCCTGCTTTACTTGGTTAGTTAGTCGGATAACTTGCACAGCTAGGGATGTGTTGACACTACAGTACTGTGGTCTTATAACACTGCCAGTTTTTAGGCCAGTATTTTTTTGTCCATTTTGTATCGCATATCACATCAGAGTGTACGCGTGTTGTTTTGTAAATACAAAAACCGTAACCTATTTTAACTTGTTTTTTTGTCCTTTTAAGCAACGCGATATGTCTGTTATGACCAGAGTGCCAAATTTTATGCTTTAATTTTGATCCTCTCCACAATGTGCGTAGTTCATGACCTGATATTTCAACGTAAATTGTCGAGAAGGCGCCTTCCGATCACCTTCGTCTACTTTGCACGTCACGCAAGCACGCAAGCGTTACGACCGATCACGATTACGCAACGTTTTAAGCCAACTCAGCATCTAATCTCCATTCAGTTGCTATGAAAACCTAAAATCCTCAACGTAGAAGATAAACGATCGAAGTTTGAACGGTCAAAAGGAGACCTTGGTCAATTTTCAGAATCATGCAAATGATCTTTAACACGAGCGCAATTGAGCAAACACATGGATTTGTGTTGTTTTAAGAAGTTGGTGGATAAGAGCTAGAGATATACCCGCGGTTTTGAGGCAATCCGTGACCTCATTAGTGTATAAACTATGCACTGATATGCTTTTTTAGCCTGATTAACGCCTGCATTTTGAGAATTCTTTCGTACAAAGTAATGAATTTTTAATATGCAAATTAAGGTCGAAGAGAAGGGTCTCCGCTGATCACGCTGGTATGAGAAATATTTCAGCTGAAGTTTCCATATTTTGTCTGTGAACTAACTGAATAAATCTTGTAACTTGTGGCAAGATGAAATTCCGTGAGCTACGTTGTTGCAGTCGCTGCGCGCTGGACAAAATCTTTGAAATTTACACTTTCGATCGCTGTTCACAGGGGGTGGTCTAGCCAAAAATCAATTTTGGCGACGCAAAAAAAAAAGATTAAGGAGAACAACTAAACGATTTTTGAAACATGTGTCCTAAACCCTTTTCATGGGCAAAAAACAAAAGAAAACTTTTTTTCCGACGGGAAGTCGAGAGGACCGCTCTTAGCAAGAGCGACACTTAAATTGCAGTTCGATTAGATGTTGGTTTTTACATTCAAACTGGGTTAGATTTAGTCATTGCTTATGTTTCATTATGGTTTGTCTACATGGAAAGGAAACTGTAACTATATAGCTTTACATATTTTTTCGTAGCAATATTAATAATGATTTTTTTTAAGTAGAACATGTTTCAATAAGTGTCGTACTTTCTCTTCAGCATCATTTAGCGTTTTTGGAGCCCAAAGGAAGCAGGGAATAAGAAAAAAATTATAACTTTTGATTTATTTGATTAACACATGTGTAACCGTGATTTGATTTTTTCATATGCAACAGGATGATATAGCGGAAGATAGCCCGAAAAAAAGGAGGGAACTTGACTATGGCAAAGTTGATTTAGGAAACTTAAGCACTTGGTAAATGCATCTTACCTTTTAGCGGATGATTACAATTTTCTGAGATAATTGAAATGTCAATCTGTAATTATACAGGAGTGAACTTTCCACGTAACTTGATTGTACAGTCTGTATATGCATTGGGATAATGGTAACTGAAAAAATTGTATATCTGTTTTGCAGAACCACCATTGGTACAGTAGCACCTTAAATGACGAAAATCAATGATTCCTTGCAAGCATGAATGCATGGGCAAAGTTATGACAATAATTGAACGTATCTTTTTCCGAGGATACATAATGGTTGATGATTTTAATGTAGGTTCTCTTTCAGAATTCAAACTTTCAACTTTGTTTTGTTACTGTTTTTCATATTTATTTCTTTGTTTTTTGTTGCTCTTTAATCCCTAAAAGGTTGTTGCAGGCGAGTCTGTAGCCTGACATCCTTTGTTTAGAATTGTGTAAATATAATTTTACTTTAGTTACATGTATCACATTTCAATATGAAAATTTATTTGAATAGCATTTTAAAGTACTCAGGCTCAAGTTTTAAATTATGGTGTTCTTAAAAATTCTGATACCCATTCCACAAAGGGAATTTTGAGATAATCGATTTTTGACATGATATGTAAGTTTTTAAAGGTGGCGGCCTGGAAAAGCGAGGGTCGTCCTTCATTGAGGTCTGAAATTATTGGGTGCCCTCCTCTTTTAGTTTAAGTTTTTTTCTTTAACCTGCCTCCTCCTCTTTAATCTTTTGGGGCACATAAATGTATATTTTTTTAATTCCTTTTTCGTATTTTGATGCATTAAGTTTAAATTAATAAGCATCCGCATAATGCGTAAGGCAAAAATAGGAGCGCCTTAGCTTGATAGCCAGATTATGAAACTAAAATAAGAGTTGCCCAAAAATTTCATTTCTTGCTTTTAATCTTCCTCTGGTTATTTGCACAAATAATCAAGTCATTATCACTGACAGAATCATTCTTATTGTCCAATGTGCATGTAACAAGTTGATAACCCCCTTATTTTTTAAATTAAGAAAGGAAAATAGCCCTCGCTCTTACCTAACGCTCTTCAAAGAGTCACTGACTCTACGTCTCCCCTCTACATAATTAATAAATGGTACCCAAATTTCCTTGAATAAACTTTTCAACAACCAGTAAGAAATTCTGATAAAGTGAAGAACCAGAAAATAAACTAACTGGAGCTCCGCATTTAGCCTTGGCCAAATCTATAAATTCGTCAACAACTCTCCGCTGAAGTGAAGGTGGCTAGTGGTGGATATTTACCGAGTCGCGAAGCAAGGTAATTATCCACCGCTGACTGCCGACACTGAAGCGGATAGTTTAAGTATATGCGAAAACAGTGACATAATGTAGCACAAAAAGATAATTTTAACTGATTTATTCCTGCAACGTGAGGGAGCGCAAAACTTGCGAGTTGCTCGGAGATGAAGATCAAAGGATACTCGCAGCGCGCCTTTAACGCCATCCACTGTTTTAGTATACTGTGTACTTATAACTGATATTTTGGGGAATAACATGTCGGTCATTCCTTTGTTAATAAAATAGAATGAAAATTACGATCTGTTTAAATATGAAATTGTTTGTGTTTTATCATACTAGACGGCAAATCTTAATCGTAACTGAACATAATGAATAGATGTCATCTGCTGTTGAATAATGTCCTAGTGCTATCAACCTGTGTATAACCTATAAAGGATTCTAAAATTGGCCATTCGGTAATATAGAAAGACAGTTGGCGAAAGGTAAATGAATGGAGCAATGATGAAAGAGCAAGTGAACAATTCAAGTGAATGTAATGAGTTAGTGATTAAGTAAATGAATGACTAGATGTTACGTGAGAGGAAATACTAGCATTCATAAACTCATGAATAGTTTTTACATATTAACTAAATGCAGTTGAGGCAAGGTGGTGTACTTTGAAGTGAATTAAGGTGAGTTAGCCAGGAATGAAAACGATTTAGAAGGCGTTGAGGTGGACACAAGTGAACCACCGTTCATTTGCTTGGATTATAGTGGATAAGGTAATTTTTTTTGTATTATCAACTCAGTTCATAACATAAATTGGCCGCCGTAAAAAGTTTCAAAGCTGATGTTTTGACTGTTAGCCCTTCGTCGGAGAGAATGACGAAGGGCTAAGCTTTGAAACTCGTTACGGTGGCCAATTTACTTTATCAATTCAGTTACAATACTAAATTACCTAATCCACTATAATCCAAGCAAGTGGACTCTATTTCACTTGAAATTACCCCGTTATATTCTCCCACCGGCGCAACACCACAGTTTCTCATAAACATACCCCTTTATAGTGGATTAGACTGATCTGGAATAAATTGTTTTGACGAATTTGACTGTAGTATTTTGAAATTAAAACTAGTAGATTGGGTTGGATCGTGGAGGGTCGGAAAGGGCCAGCTAGAATTTCTTATGGCTAACTAGAGTGGATTTGGGTCGGATTAAATTTTCCACGCACATAGTCGTCCAAGTAAAGGTCATTTTATTGCACAATCAACAAAGATATCTTGCTGCAAGAAATACAATTATTCATTGCCTAACTCAAGGCCTATGGCACATAACCTTTCCCTTGATCAGTTTGAAATGCTAACCTCCATTTATTTTCCGTCTTAAATTAGGGTTTTACATGCATATTTTACTGGGTTCTATAATGAAAGGAATGTTTTTTTTGGTTTTGTTTTGATGGTTTCTAGAAGAGTTTCTTTAGAATGTTAAAGCCTGTTCTCTTTTTTAATTATTTCTGGACGATTTATCATGGTAGGGGATGGTAGTTTTGAGCACAATCTGGATTTCCTGGAAACAAATTTACGTTCGTTGCTGCCCTCAAGTATTTCTCCAGGGCAGTTACATTCATTTGTGTCTGGTGTAACTTGGTTTTGTTATAATGATTGTTGCTCATCACTGCAAAGGACTCTGCTTTTGGCTTTCCGGTCTCCATCCACACACAACATCCCGCCGTCCAAACAGCTCGAGGAGTATCAAGGCGTAATGTTTTAGTTGCTACTTTAAATGTATTGGTAATGAACGGCTTCGTTACGCCCTTGAGGCCATTTTCGGATCTACCTGTCAGAAGGTAAAGGGTTCCTTGGCGGGTTTGACTCCCACAGGTAGTTTTGGCATAATTTCTTATCTTTCTCTCAAACTCTTGCCAAGGTCCGCTGTTTGATGCCTCAAACTGAGGTACAGCATTCGTAAGAGTGAAAGTAGCCTTCATGAAATTTGTGTTAAAGGAGTTGATAGCGGAAGGATTCATATGGCCTCTGGTAAGTTGATTCTTATACTTGCTTCGGGCTTCTACGTTGGCTTGTTTATAAGCTTTGTTGAGACTAGAAACACCTATAACAATGAGTCACATTCTTCGATGAATACGGATAACTTCTCACATTTAAATTATCAAATCATGTTCTTCTGAATACGATGACGATAGTGGTGATATTTCGTCTTTCCCACGATGATCAAATTATTATTTACAGACTGAAAGTGATCTTTGAATATTCCAGGGAATCGTGTCGCTTTTTCTGAAATTAAGAGAGTATGAAGCCTTCTGACTGCACTTTCATTTCTCTTGAAAACATAAAGATTCCTTGCAAAACAGGCGTTGTTTTGCGGAAAAAAATTAGGAAGAAGCAATATGATAGCTTTCCCCACTTCTTCGGTGACGTTGTGAGTTTTCAAGTAACGCAAGGTACACTCCAAGCCTCTGTATTTGCTTCATGTATTGATTGTCCTCCAATCGGTCTTGTAATAAATAATTGTCAAATAACCATTTACGTACCTAGAGGAATCCTCCAATGTGTATTTTTGCGTCTCTTATACTTGCCAAGGCTCTTTGCCTGCCAGGGTAAAACTTTGTAGGCTGAATAAAAAGGAGTGTTCGTGCTTGTATCAAAGAGAGAGAAAAAAAAAGGTGGCGTTCCTTGCTGGATTTCTGTCCCTTGATCAATGCCTGGAAGGCCAACTGGAGGTTCGCTTCCAACGAAAAAAGAAGGCTTAGGAAGTCCGCCCCAGGAGGATCTTTTCCCTTCATTTGGCGATTCCTCTGAAGGAAAATTGCAAAGCAAGGATAGGGTAGTTTCATTAGATTAATTCAACAACTTAATTAGAATTAATTTAACCGATTATGTAGTGATCTAAAGTTATGACAACTGAGTGGTATTACCATCAGAGACGAGGGGTACCTTGTCTGTCAGTCGGGTCTTATTCTGGTATTGTGAAACTAATTGGTTAATTTTATCCAGATGCTTTTTGTGGGAAGACTTAACTACAGTGAAAAACCCATGTATAACAACCTAAAATTTAAGAAATTGTTTGGCCAAAATGTTTTAACTAACCACCCATCACAGAAGAACCATTTCAGAAATAGCCTGAACACCGGCAGTGTTATAAGACCACAATACTGTGCTGTCAATACATCCATAGCTGTGCAACATATCCGACTGTGTGTACAAATTAACCTTGTAAAGCAGGGTAATATGAGGCTGGAATACAGCGCAGTGTCACACTCACACCACGAAGAGAGGATTCCCTTTTTTAAACAAATATTAAGAGCCTGACTTAGAAGCTAAGTAGTCTAATTTCAGTGTAAAAACCATTTATTTAAGAACGTACGGAGGTTAGGTTCTTATATGCGGGATTTTACTGTAGCTTTGGTTCGCTGCTATTGATTGGTTTTAGAATTGCTGGTTAAGGTAGCTCGTTTTGATCGGCCTCTTAAATCTGGTAATGCTGTGAAAAAGTCATATCAGAGCGCTGATAGCTTGTCTTCTGTTAGTTGGTGTAGGTTTAATTTCCTTGGAGAACTGATAGAAGTCAAAGAAGATTGCAAACTTCCTTTTAAAGACCACTTGGTCATACTAGATGAATTTTGCAACGACCAGACATAAAGTGTAAATTAGGACAACAAGTTCGACAATTATTTTTTTTCATTTAAAACGCAACGCATAATCAACTCCCACGACCGTGACTTAAGTCAAGGGACAGTGCGTAACCACGACCAGAACACACTTCTTGAAAGACGAATCTTTAAAAAATCAGGCCACAAAAAGTCAATTTATGCGACGAAAAAACAAGTCTAGACGTCTCTTTTTCTTCGCAGAAACAACTACATGAAAGACTAAATTAGATGGAGGACACGGGAAACGAATACTGATACAACTCCCACGACAGACCTGGCGCAACGAATAGATACCGTAGACTCACGCATGTAATCAATTAAGAGACATATAGATTGTTTGTATCTACCGGTGGAGTTACTTTTCGAGGCCACGGTAACTGCTGACACTGAGATAGCAACTACTAAACACCAAACGGTTGTTTTCATTTTTCTTGGTCCGGTCGTCTTATGCAGGATCTAAATGAACTAAAATGAATTAAGAACTGTTCAGTAAAGAGCTTAGATAGTAGTTTACTTCATTACTGTCTTAGAGTCAGCGAATTATAGGGCAGTATGATTCAGTGATTCATTTATTTCTAGGTAAGATTGAATTCGAAGTCTGAAGTTATATTGAATTGGGTTTTAGCTATTACGATGAGATCCCTTATGTTAACTAACTAGGCTAGTGGAAGGGCTTAGTTGGTCTTCTGTTCTTGCCCGAGACCTACACTATTATAGTTCTTCTTTTTTTCGGCTTTTGCAGCCAAAGATTGTTTGTTTGATCAGAAACGTCAGGTATGTTATTGTTCATTCGTAAAATTCTAGTGAAAGTAGGTCAGGATTGTGATACGGTCAGTTGGTTTTCAAGTTAGTACTTAGTAAGAATCAGAGTTAGAGTGAGGTAGAAATGATGAGATTCAGAGTCTACCATATAGTGATTAAAGAAAAGGGATTGTAGCTATATTAAACAGACCTGTGGCAGAGAACAAGGATCAAAGAAGAACTTTAGGGACAAAGTCCCCGGTGCCTTCCCCTTAGCGTGCAACATCCTATCGCTAGGTTCCACCTATCTGCGCCTTATCAATACTTTGAAATTGGCATAAAACAGGTATCAAGGTCTAACATCAGTTTAAGGGCATTCAAATGGGAACTCGTTGACCAGTTAGCATGTTACATAGTAAATGACAAATTTACGCAGCATATTAAGTAACTGATTTTGACTGAAAATATACAGGAGATCATTAACTCAGGCTATTGTGTCTTGAAAGAAGTTAACCTTTTACATGGCAATGGTGGGATTTGTAGCAAAATAAACGTTAACTTTCATCATTTTTTCCTTCCCCTTTTCAATGATTTTGAACTAAGGATTTTTATTGCTTGAACACGTGGCATTGAGAGAAAGAACTGAATTCTTTAATACTCGAAATTATTGAAAGGAAAAATTGGAACTGCCCGTGGAAGTATAAGATAAGAGAGCCGTTTTCTCGTGTTTTTAAGAATAAAGGTCTTCTAAGGGAGTTTTGTGGTCGCTTTGTCGATCGTTTGCCAAAGCACTTGTCCGGTCTGTTTGGTTGGGGACAAATATGACGCTAGAATTATCTATCCCTTAGGAAATTTGTGGCGAATTGTCTGAGTTGAGATAATTCATGTTTTCCCTAGTAGGAATGTTGAGGTGTCATTTAATCATTTAATTTATAAATTTGTAAATGAGTGGAAACATTTTAACTGATTAAAGAAAGTCAACATAGGAACAACCTTGAAGTGGAGATTCGGAAGCTCATTTTGTTGCACCTTACCAAAATAATATATTTGAGTGAGCAATAGTAAAACTCTCCTCGTTTTGGAATGCCGTTCAAATCGTAGTATGGCTGATATCGTAGAAACTCTCACTTTGTCCTTTGTTTTTAATGCAAGTGTGAAACGAGGTGCTATCATAGATTTAATCCACAAAGTGCACAATTTGCCGAGAGATTTTAAGGGTGGAGGAGTTATTTCTTAAGATCTAGCACACGTAGAAAAGTTTGTAAAATACGACTAGAAAAACGTACTTTCTTCGTATTGTAACTTAATTGAAATGTTGCAGAGTTTTCCACTAAAAGAGGGAAAGAGGAAGTGAGGTAGTTCCAGAGCAAAACAAACTATCCGATCAATGAAAATAAACAGATTTCATAATTGGCAGAGTTATGCATCCCATGGTTACTTACTAAGAGGTGATAAGTAGCGATCACAGCAATAACAAAAAGCTGAGGAGTCGTGTTGGAGCTCGAAGCGAGGGTTCAATATGTTGTAAACGTTTGCGTCGGACGTTCGTAATTCTGTTGTTCAATATATTGATTCTTAAGCATGACGTTGACATTGGTTTTTGAAAGATGTATCAAATTATTCCACCTGCTTGAGGAACTCATTTAGGCAATCACTTATTTAAATTAGGAAAATATGCAACGTATTGTTCTGACAACAGGCTATGGATTAAAAGAGTTGTTATACTATTTCGAAGTTTAAGAAACGCGCGTTTATTAAATTTGGACTAAGGAACGAGGAAATTCAGGTAGGGTTAGACTAACGTGTTACACCTTAATGGCCCAAATTTTTCTAAAGCAATCTAATGTATTTTCATGAATTAATGATATCTATTCCTCGAATGCCCTAGTTGGGCAAAAAGGCTAGCAGAGGCTAACTATTTTTGTTACTTTGATTTTCATGCTTTTCGATATTAGTACAAAGGAATACTTTGAGGAATGGTCGTACCAAGGAAAAGGAATGTTGAAAAATCCATATTTCACTTTTAGGGAAAATTCCTTTTTCTTTCAGAGAGGTTTTCTAAAAGTATCGTAAAAAGCAAATCAATTTGAATTGGTTGATCCAAGTAAAAACTAAATCTCAACAGTGCAGCTTAAAACTACGTTAGAAGAGATCAGAGGAAGCCTCTATTGTCGCGAGAAATTTAGAAGATATCAGCGTAACGGATTTCCATAAATTTTCGTCAATAATTTTACAAGGTCATTCACCAGGTTTTAAGATGAACAGGTACCTGTTACTACCAGATGAGTCAGGAAATGAGGTGGACCTTGTGCTAGGCTCTGAAGTTGGTTCAGAATGTCCAAATGGGCTGTGAATATTCTCAAAATTGAAAGGATTTTTTGAGCCAAAAGCGTTTTAAGAAACATTCAGTCAGTAAAGCGAAAAATTATACCTGAATGAATTTGAAAAAAAGGCGATAATTTTACTCAGTTTCCAAATTTTCTCTTACGTAGCTTAGGTCGAGAATTGGACAAGTTTTAGGCTACAAAGACAGATAATGAATAACAAAATCCCATTTCAGTTAACTCAGATTCTAAATTATCAGTGTGAGTTCATGCTCTTGTTTAGTTGAATAAAAGATTAAAATGGCTTTTGAAATAATTCATCTTCTTCAAACTAAACTTTCCCTACTTTATGTCTTGCACAAAAAACAGTAATTGGTAATTTTTTTTTATTGTGGCTTATTGACAAGAACGTCTAGTCTGGGAAATTTGGCTAAATACCTTATTATATATACGCTATTAGGTTTTCATGAATGTTATCACGCTAGGCGTATTCAACCCGATTAAAGATTGGAGCTATGTTGTGACACTCTGATGTTTATCGATCGAAGATTTTCCCTAAAGTTGGAGTTATTAAAGTAAATTTAGCCAATGGAAAGTAGAACTAGCTCGAGTTAACAGGGAGTTCGAGTTAGTCTTGTTCGAGTTAGCTGATAGTAAATGACTGGAAAATGGGGTCAAACCCAGGAGGAAATCGTATTTTGTTCAAATTAGCGGGGTTCTAATTTATGAAGTTCGCCGGCTTTTCCACGCACGAAGTCGTACAAGTAAAGTCGCATTCATTTTATTGCACATTCAACTAATATATCTTGCTGCAATGAATACAATTATTCATTGCCTTACTCTAAGCCTACGGCAAATAAGCTTTCACTCGATTAATTTGAAATGCAAACCTACATTTATGTTTCGTCTGAAATTAGGGTCTTACATGCATGCTTTAATGGGGTCTACAAGTCTGCTATTTTTTTTTTGGAGGGGGCTTTCGTTGTCAAAGACTGTTCGTTTGATCAGAAACGTCAGGTAAGTTGTTGTTCATTCGTAAAATCCTCGTGAAAGCAGGTCAGGATTCCGATACGGTCAGTTGGTTCGCAAGTTAGTACTTCGCAAGAATCAGAGTTAGAGTTTGGTAGAAGTGATGAGATTCAGAGTTTGCCACATAGTGATTAAAGAAAAGAGATTGAATATATATTAAATTGACCTGTAGCAGAGAACAGGGATTAAAGAAGAAGATAAAGGACAGAGTCTCCGGTGCCTTCCTTTAGCGCTGGACGTTCTTTAACTAAATTCCACCGACCAGCACCTTACCAATATTTCAAAACTGACATCAAACAGGTATGAAATTATAACATCAGTTTAAAGGCATTTAAATGGGAATTCGTTGACCGGAACGAAAAAGAATTCCGGAAATTGTAATCATAGTAACACGATGTTGGTAAGAAAGATATTCTTCATGTGTCGCCTTTCATTTTTGCAATAAGCATATGTTTTAGTATGAACCCGTGGAAACAAACACGAGTCAGTAAAAATTTGGTCAGGTTGGTATGTTATATCATGAATGACAAATTTACACTGCATGTGAAGTAACTGATTTTTACTGAAAATGTGCAGGAGATCGTAAACTCAGGTTCTTATCTCTTGAAAGGAGTTAACCTTCTACATGACCATGATGGGATTTGTAACAAAATGAACCTTAACTTTCATCCTTTTTTTCGGCTTCCCCTTTTCAATGATTTTAAACTAAGATCTTTATTGCTTGGACAGGTGTTATTGGGAGAAAGAACTGAATTCTTTATTACTCGAAATTATTGAATGGAAAAAAATGGAACTGCACGCAGAAGGACAGGATAAAAAAGCCGCCATTTCGTGTTTGAAATAATTGAGGTCTTGTAAGGGGGTTTTTGATGTCGCTTTATCGCTCGATTGCCGACACACCTGTCCTGTCTGTTTGGTTAGGACAAATGCGACACTAGAATTGTTTTTATTCCTTAGGAAATTTGTGGCGAATTGTCTATGTTGGAATAAATGCATGTTTTTCCTAATATGAATGATGACAGTGTCACACAAACATTTCGTTGATAAATTTGTAAATGAGTGGGAACATATAAACTGATTTAAAAAAGTCGACATAGGAGCAACCTTAAAGTGAAGATTCGGAAGCCAATTGTTTCGCACCTTTTTGTCTAATTGATGGTGGAACGTGTTCGAATGAGCAATTGTAAAAACTCTCCTTGTTTTGAAATGTCTCTTCTCAAATCAATTCAAATCGTAGTATGACTGATATCGTGGAAACTCTCTCTTAGTCCTTTGTTTTTTTAATACAGATGTGGAACGAGGTTTTACTAAAGAATTAAGAAAATGCGCAATTTGCCGAGAGATTCTAAGTTGCACCAACATACTACCCATTTGTAATAACTGCAATCTGTGTGATATAAAAACTTAGGGTAGAGGTGTTATCTCTTAAAATCTAGTATACGAAGAAAGGTCGTAAAATACAATTTCAAAAACATATTTTCTTCGTATTGCAACATACTTGAAATGCGGCAGAGTTTTTCTTAATAAGGGAAAGGGGAAGTGAGGTAGTTCCAAGACAAAACAAGCTATCCCATTTTGCTCTTAAAAATCAATAATAATAAATAGATTTCGTAATTGGTAAAGTTACGCATCTCATGGTTACTTACCAAGAGGTGATATGTGGCGAACACAGCAATAACGGAGAGCTGAACAGTCGTTCTGTAACTCTAAGCGAGGGTTCGGTATGTTGTAAACGTTTGCGACGGACGTTCAGTAATTCTGTTGTTCAATATATTGGTTCTTAATGCGTGACTTTGACATTGGGTTTAGAAAGATGAATCAAATTATTCCACCTGCTTGAAGAACTCATTTAGCAAAGTCGTATTTGAATTAGGAAAATGAGCAACGTATTGTTCTAGCAACAGCCTATGGATTAAAAGAATTGTTATGCTATTTCGAAGTTTTTGATTTTGCAGCAATTGTGTTTAACTAATTTGGACTTAGAAGAGAGGAAAGTCAGTTATAGTGAGACTAACGTGTTGCACCATATTGGCTCAGATTTTTATAAAGCAACATAATGTATTTTCATAAATTGACGATATCTGTTCTTCGAATTCCTAGTCGGGTAAATAGCAATAAACCTTTGAAGACCATGAATCGTATGGAAATTAATAAACTCTTCAGCGCCATCTTGCTGTTTCACATCTCAGTGATTGTTATGTTGCCATGCACATCAAATGTTAATTTTTTTATTATTAACTCACCGGGAAAGCTCCCGTGAGTAGTCATAACCTGTCACTTACATCTGACGGATACTTTGCGAACGGAAGGCGATGTAAGGAAATTCTTTGAAAGTCAATCATGTTTGTATTTGAGATTAACAATGAGGCCGCCTTCATCTTTTTTGACGGTAAATAATGCGGTTTTAATCATATGTCCACACATGTAAAGAGCTACGTCACGTAATTTTGAAGAACTTTTATTGTCCCAGCAATAAACCTTCTGTAAATAATCGTGCACCTTAAATGAGAGAAAGACTGAAGAGGGACACGATAATGTAAATTGCCGAACATGAAAAAAATAAAGGTTGAATTCTTCATGATAGACAAACCGTGACGAATTTCCTTTTAACGGGTCCCAAACTTTTTTTTTTTTCACTTTTCTTCTAGTGCTTCTGAGGTCTAATTTTGGCCCCGATGACACATTGCGCCAAAGCCAATTCGACTGTTCGACCTTTTTGGCAAAGTACTCCGAACACTTGCAGTATTTGTATCACCGAAGGTTTTTCTTACCTGAAGCTCTTTTCTCCAACGCTCTTGACAATACACCTGTGCATAAGTAAACATACAGTCATTCAAGACAATAGTATTTTTTTATTGATGTGTTCTAACTCTCCGAGGTAGAAAGCAGTTTCACTCCAAGTCGTGAAGATGCATGAGAGTGATCATTGCGGTACTGAACTTTGCTCAAGCATGCGCAGAAGTAAGAATAAAGCCTGAAAGACTCCATCTAAGTCATGTAACAATGCCAATTCATTCATATATTGCCTTTGTGAGTATAATCCCCAAACAATGACAAGGCGATTTTCTATTCGAACTTACAGACTAAAAGGCATGAATTCCTGCAGAATACTTAAAATAAAGAAGAAGTAAACTCAGTCGTTCGCATATAGAGCAAGATACAACTCCTTCCAGCTCCTTCCAGCTCCTTCCAGCTCCTTCCAGCTCCTTCCAG